TCATTTACTTAAGGTTAATTTCTGTAAATTAACTGGATTTTATTTGGTTCAGGAGTGAAGATGTGCAGTAAATATTTAACATCTTTTGCTGGTTTCATTCAGGAGTCTGTCTTGACCTTTGTTTCCCAGAGCACTTCCACTAAACCAGCAGCTGCCACCTTGTCTGCGGCATCTGGGGATCTTGATCTATTCACTGAGCAAACAACAAAATCTGAAGAGTCGGCAAAGAAACAACTCTCCAAAGACTCCATCTTATCACTGTATGGCACAGGAACCATGCAGCAGCAAAATGCTCCGGGTAAATAATTTTGTCAAGGTTTCTGTGCAGTCCTATTTTAAGCTTTACCTAAAATAGTAATCTCCCACAAGTATTAAACTGAGGTTGGTACCCTGCTACCTATAGTCAAATGAAGATAGTTATTTTTACTATTTATAAAAATGAGAAAATTATTGAAATGTAATAGAGAAACAAATGAAAAGAGATAGTATGTGATTTTAATTTACTTATAGTTGTTCAAATTATCAAGTATACGATTTACTGAAAGATTTGTGAACTCAGTTTCTGCAATTGAATTCATCACTTAGGGTCCAGGTCTCTGCTGTGCGAAGTGCAGGCTGCCAGGACCAGTACAGGGCTGTCATGTCTTGATCTTAGCTATGTTTGTATGAAAACAAAGACCTCCAGTACAGCGATTAAAAGATTCTAGTTTACCACAGGGATTTGCCAGACTCTTTTTGGCAGTTAACCTCTGGTTGTTGAGTCCCTTTCCTTTGAGAGTTTTTAAGCAATTTTTTACTTTTACCAGACTGACATACAACGGGACAAAGTTATCCTTCAAAATTATTTTGGTGTACTTCTGACTTATGGGGGTGGGGGAGAAAATTACAAAACGCTTTTGCTGAAATCTTCCCTTCTCTGGACCAGGTATGTTCATGGGGTCGTCTTCTATGCCATTTACCACACAACCATCAACTCATTTTCAAGGCTTTCCAGCCATGGGAGTTCCTGTGCCTGCAGCAACTGGGATGATGGGAAACATGATGGGACAATCGGTGCCAGTTATGGGACAGAGCACTGGTGTGATGGTAGGAATGGGAATGCCCAACGGATTTAGTGGTACTACACAAACTGGTGTGATGGGACTTCCTCAAAATGTCGTTGGACCACAAGGTGGAATGGTGGGACAGATGGTCACGCCACAAAATAAGTATGGATTGCAGCAAAGCCAACAAGCTCAATGGAACCTCTCTCAGGTAAAGACTTCCTATTCCCAGGCAAGAGTGCTTTAGGACAGATGCTGCTTCTCAGATACAGAATGTTTGCCTGTAGGAGGAAAGTTGCAGTGTAGCCAAGTTACAGACTGCTGGACTGTGAACTGCCCAGAGGCATGTGTTAAAAAAAAATCAGCCAAGAAGGCCAATGGCATCCTGACTTGTGTCAGCAATAGCGTGGCCAGCAGGGACAGGGAAGGGATCTTACCCCTGTACTCGGCACTGGTGAGGCCGCCCCTCGATTCCTGTGTTCAGTTTTGGGCCTCTCACTCCAAAAAGGACATTGAATGACTCGAGCGTGTCCAGAGAAGGGCAACGGAGCTGGTGCAGGGTCTGGAGCACAGGTCGTACGGGGAGCGGCTGAGGGAACTGGGGGTGTTTAGTCTGGAGAAGAGGAGGCTGAGGGGAGACCTCATCGCCCTCTACAGCTCCCTGAAAGGAGGGTGCAGAGAGCTGGGGATGAGTCTCTTTAACCTAGTAGTAAGTGACAGGACAAGAGTTAACGGCATCAAGTTGCACTAGGGCAGGTTTACACTAGATGTCAGGAAGCATTTATTTCCAGAAGGGGTTGTTAGGTGTTGGAATGGGCTGCCCAGGGAGGTGGTGGAGTCCCCATCCCTGGAGGTGTTTTAAGGGTGGGGTTGACTTAGCACTTAAGGACATGGTGTAGTTGGGAACTGTCAGTGTTAGGTTAATGGTTGGACTAGATGATCTTCAAGGTTCTTTCCAACCTAGATGATTCTGTGATTCTGTCAGTAATTCAATTAAAGATAACTAATACATAAGCAGACAGTCAGTTTTGCCAGGGTAGACCCAACTCATATCTCTGCTTCTGTAGCTACTCTCATCCTGGCACCTGAAGTACTCAGGTAAAAAGCTAGTTTAGCTAGAGTTACAAAATACTGAAAGGTAAACACAGCCTTATAACTAAAAGCAGAATTTGGGTTCTTGAGGATAGCCATTAACAATTAATACTTTAATTTACAGGCGTCAGGATAAATTTCAGTGGGATGTGCAGTGTTTTGCACTCTAACATTTTCCTGTAGACAATTTGCGTAGGCTAATCTATTATTTATATGTAGCATTTTCATGCTATTTTTTAATTTCTTAAACATGTTTAAAAGGATCTCTAAAAGTGTTAGTGTACACTTTGTGCTAATGAAACATCTTGAAATCAGGTTATTTGAGAGGTTAGTGGGGGACACACATACACACACACACACACACACACACACACACACAAAAACCTAAATGATCCCCTTGGAGTTCAGTATAGATGATAGCAAATATTTTTTTTTCATAATATTCTTTGAATTATAACAATATAATAGTTCCGTGCTGCTTACTCTAATTCAGGAAGTGAACCTTAGTGACTTATTTAAATTGGATTATATTAGCTTTTACTGTTCTGCTTAGTCCTGTGGTATGAATGTTTATGAAGGTAAGCAGCATTTCTTACATAGATAAAATAAAACAGCCCCTACTTGAAAATACAGGCTGTCATTCTGCTTTGAAAAGTAATTTTTAAAAGGTGAGAATTTCAAAATATCAAATCAAGAAATTCTGTGGATTTACTGTTAACAGTCTTTTTCTAGGTATCTAACTTTAAAAAGACCCATATCGGCTTTAAAATTAAAATCATGCTTCTTACCAAATCTGTATTAGAAGTTGGCTCACAGAGCAAGCTCTTAACCCGTTTCTGTACGCCTTGCACATCAGATGTTGTCAGCATGCTGACATTCCACGGTTTGTAGGGGAACTGTGATCTAATCTCTGGCTCCAGTTGAAAGGGGGAGAGCTTGCTGTACTTACCAGAATAGCACGCTTTATATAGTCTGCTGCTTAAGAATTCTGTTCCCGGAGAGATTAACAACTAGGTAAAGCATGTTTTCATCAGCTTTTTTTAATTTCCATGTTCAGTGATGGGTTGGTTTTGTGGGATACACATGTGAAAGCACACAGTACTGAATTTTACCCTGAAATACTAGTTTGTAATTTATTTTAATTTTTTTTTTTCCACCAGTGTTTTGGTTTCATTTTGCAAACTGACAGTCTTTGTTCATGTGTACATAAACTCTGATTTTTACCTAATGCTGTCTCTAACTTGATTCTAATGTTGCTTATCCAACATCCCTCCCTATTCATCGGCTCTGATTTAATGGCTCCAAATGCTCTTTTGCTCTCAGACTCATGAGAGGGGCCATCCTCACTCTGTACAGCTAGGTGTTTGGCTTCTCAATAAGTGTTCATTCTTGAGGAGGCAAGGGACAGTAACCTGAATAATGTTTTTACATTGAGCACTGAAAATTAGTGATTTGTAGAAAGTAGAAATATTTTTTCATGGTCACTGAAGTGAATGTGCTGAATTTCAAACTCTTTCCCACCTTTAACTAAAAGTCTTCTTTAATTTCATGTGAATAATTTCACTTGTTTTTAAGAAATAATGGTATCTTGAGTAGATTCTTCAGCAAGAATGGTTAGATTTAGATAATGCTCAAGTTTATAAATCCGCCTCATCCTTTGTTAATGCCACCTCAATGGACAATTTCTATAAAAACTTGTGTATTAAAGATTTTGAGGTCTCCAAAGAAACATTGCTGGAACACAAAACGCCTGGAGCTGCAGATGTAGACAAGGCTCCATTACTTGCTTTAGTGATTCTTTATGGCAGCTGCCACAATTTTGTGGCTTAGCTCTGAAAGCAAGCTCTCGACAGCTGAGGCACATCGGACTCCTTTGTCCCACGCTCGGTGAATTCACTAGCAGGGTGTTCATACAGATTGATGTACAGACCAAGTGCTACAGCCGGTCAGCTGATGCATGATGGTGACTGAATGGCTCTGGAAAAGATGATGTCTTGAGAAATGCTTAGAAACTTACATCGGGTCAATATTTTTACTTAAGGAGAAGCATTCCTGTTAGGGGAACGTACTCTAACTGGGTTGCTAGCTGGGGGCTGGCTGCGTCTTGGCTGGCAGGGTGTTGCGCCAGTGCTAACCCGGCTCCTGTGTGTGCTTCACAGATGAACCAGCAGATGGCTGGAATGAATCTCAGCAGTTCCAGCAACGTGATGGGCTTTGGGCAGCCCCCCAGCACAGCGGCGGGGTGGACTGGGAGCTCCTCTGGTCAGACTCTCAGCACACAACTGTGGAAATGAAAGTTGCAACAGAAGTCTCGCCCCGAACAACCACCCAACATTCCTTGTTCAAAGGCATTTACTTTCACTGTTCCTTCCATGTACATATTATTTTTCTTTTTCCCCAGCTGTTCTGATTAAGAATATAACTGACTGACCGTGTTGTGGTCTATATTGATCTAAATTTGATGTAGTGAAAAGCAAATCAAGAATACATTTATACATCATTGGCAGCGTTTCCATATAATGCATATGATTTCATAGACCATCTATTTAAGAAGCTGCTTAACAACCACATACTGATTTTTTTCCCTCAAAATTCTAGATCAAATGTTTGCATATAAGGGATGTAGCTATCATGTTAGTAATATCCAAAAATATGAACCCTGACCCCCCAAAATTACCCAGTAATCTTGTAGAAGGTACTGTATGAACAAATGTTTAATCATATATAAATAGAATGTAAATGTATCACTGAGCAATGTTTTCTAGTGTATCAAACAAATTTTGTTTCATCATACATTTCACTGTGATGTTGTTATGGTGTGCATAACAGGGAATACGGTTATTGAAAGAAAGATAAACCTGGATGTTACTGTAATTCTACAAATCAATAGTTTATTCTTTTAAAAATGACCATTTGATCCATTCGAGTCTCCGGTGATCAAGTGTCCAATCTGGCTCACGAGGCACGCACACAGCAGTAATGCTGAGAACTCGCGGCACAATATGTAGACAAGGTAAATCAGTGTGAAGAGATCTGGTTTTCCTTGCAGAGATATCCAGGTTTATGACAGTGATTGTGTTTACATTTTATGGTGCCTCGTAATGATAAAATGTTATTTCCCTATATTAAAAGGATAAATCCATAAATGATTGTGGGTTTTTATTTCATTATTGTATGACCTATTTGACCGCTATTTGTTTAAGAAGTCTACTTTTAATGAAGGAAAACATGTTCAGTGTGGAAGGTCCATCTATGCAAATATTTAGATTAACAGTTTGTGAGTTAAATCAGTTTATAATTACACCATTAAGCTGGATAAATACAAAAAGTATATACATAAATGATGATTTGGAAAACACTCCATTGCAGCCGTGTTTCTCTTTGATTGCTTTTACTATGTGGAAACAGCCTTAAAACAAAGGTAAGTGTCAGTTTATTAAGACGAGAGTTCAGAAATGCATGCAAATGAGTTAGAACAAAGCACAGCCTCTTGATTTGCTGATCAGAGTATCTGACAGCTTCCTTTTGTTTCCACAGAAGTCCGTCAGATGACTAGTACAAGGTCTCACACAGACGTAGACTCTTAACTGGCTGAATTCGAACCCCTTCTGACACATCCGTTGTACTGTGCCTCCTGTGCAGCTGTGTCTCCAGATCATACCTCAATATTGACTGTGTCCAGATGGTATTTTGGCTCATTAGCTAGATTTACTTTTTCGGTTCGTGTGTGCCATACAAGAACCTAGAAAATACCATTTGTGTTAGTACAGCCATCCACAGAGATGATATGAGAGTGTTTTAGTAAGTGTGGAAATCGGTACCTTTGTGCAGTTGTTTGCTTTTGGCTCCAGTTCCTCCACTGTTGTTATCTGTTTCAGAAAATCAGATTCTTGCATTCCTGGTTGAGAACCACGACGCTTGAATACAGCTTTTGGATGTGACAGAATCACCTGAAGGCTCACAGCAAATCCTTGGAGAGAGGGAGGGGAAAAAGTGTTAAGAAAAACCTTCAGGCTTTACATTTTTTGCAAGTTACACTTAAGCCTAGAAATCTCCAATGTTCTTCTTAAATATGTGTAAATTTGATTATATGGATAGACAGTATTTGGTAGGTTTGTACTTTCTACATTGTTTTGTTTTGCCCTGCAGGTGCAAAACAAAATGTTTTTTTAATTGCAACATATTTTCAACACGTTTAATCAAGTTCCCATCATGTAGAAAACATCAGCTTTTGCCCGAAAAGTCAGCTGTTGCTAGGATCTTGGACTATCCTTCCTTTCTACTTTTAATTAAGCAATAAAACTGAATTTTAAAATAAAATGTATAAAATTTATACTGTACAAAAACTTCTAGGTTTAAAGGGGAAAGTCAGAAAAAAGGTTAAAATATATTACTTGGATGTAACTTGGTCTTTAGAGAGCTTTAACTATTGTTGATGAAAAACAAGTCATATTAATATTTTGCCTTGCACACAGTGTATTTATTGTGGACTTGTGAATCATTTCATCACCGGTGATCTGCAAGACAGTCTGTGGCTGATCTGTGCGTTGCACAGCACGGCTGAAAGGGCTGCGTGGGTGCACATGCCCCTCTTTGCATTGCATTCCTCTAACAACGTACATTTGGGAGACTGCAAACTGAGAAATCACTAGTTTGAACAAACCACCCTCTCTGAAGCAGCTCTCATGAATCTCCAGTTTGCCATTATTTATAGAACTCTCCAGTTTTCATTCAGCAAGGTTCAGGCGCATGTATGCTTCCTTAAGTATGACTCAAAACTCCACTGATATACTTGTAAAGAAAAATTACATTTGTAACTCCTTATGTCTAATTGCCCAGCCTACCAAAGGAATCCTTTTTTTGTCAGTTCAGAGTGGTTCCAGCTGTCCCTTTATAACAGCAGAAATAACGTTTTTGACATCTGTTCTGGAAAACTACAAGAACATTTAATTCTAAAGCCAGTATTAAAATTATCTCATTTAAAAATGAGTATAACTTTCTCTAATGGCATATAAATCTGTCCCCTTTTTTACTAGAATTACCTTGCTACTATATTTTCCTTGAAAGTAGCTGTGGCTTTTATGGGACCCTTTTAAATGGGAAAATATAAGGAGGCAATTACTGTATTGCACGTGAAGAAGGCACACTGAAAACACACTTTTATTTTAACCATTGTCCTTTTGCTTGTAGCAAAGCACAGGAAGACACCACAAAGTAATTTTTGGACACTGCAGATGAAGACTACGGGTTGGATGTAAACTGAGGTGCCAGTTCACTGACAGACATGGTTGAAGAAAACATGTTTAACTTTACACATTATATCCTGCCTAAGATAAAAAGTAGGTGTCTGGATGGAAAGGGCTTATCCACACCTTGCTGAGTACTCCAGTGAATAAAAGACTTGCAGGAGGTGCAAGGCTTTGGCTGTAGCCTGTCCTTGCTCTGTGCGGATAAGCTCTGCAGCTCCTGCTCTGCAGACTGCACCACCTGCTTACAGCAGTGCTGGGATCCAGCTGTTCTCTGCTGCAGCTGCAGGGTTTAGGCAAGCAGTACCAGGCAAAAGAATGGCAGCTGGGACTTTTCTTCCCAGGTAGGGGTTTGTCTTCAGCAGGCTACAGGCTTTTGTTGCTTCCTATGACTTGTAGCCTGGCTGTGCAGGAGTACAGGGTGGGCACCAGCCCAGTGCTGTTCGTAGCCACGTGTATTCATTTGTGAAGAGCTGAGGTTGAGTTTAAACTCCCTCAGCAAGAGAAAGCTGTGGTGCACACAGCCAGCTTTCTGCACCTTGAAAGATAACCGTAGACCTATCACTGATGAACAAATTCACCTGCTTAAGTATTTTTGGTTAGGGTTGTTTTTGTTCTAACTGAGAAAGAAAACCAACTATTAAATTTTTTGTGCAATTCGGCATTAGTGTGGCTGATATTTTGCACACACACCCCCCATATTTGCTTTGCAAGGGAAAATGCTGTTGGAGCCCTGATAGCTGTGTGCACTGCTGTTTCTTTTTAAAAAGATTTTAAGATCTAATTTGATTTAAGATGGTCATCCATAAAGGAGAAAATGAAGTGAAAACCAAAATTAATGTAGTGTCCTATTTTTTAGAGTGGAGCAGGAATCCCATTCTAGGCAGAAAACACAGACATATTTTCTGCTGATCTTTGTGTGTCTCAGCCTGGCTCCCCAGCCCCTATAGCCCATACTTATCCATACGTTAATTTCTCCTACGTTGTCTTGTTGCCAAGTTTGCTCCCCTTTGAAAAAATTGGATTCAGTTCTGAGGGTGATTTTTCCTACGCACAGATCTTTGGATGTGCCATGCCTGCTGCATGTAACACGTGCCCTTGCTATTGCAAATCATCATTTTAGGGCACTATCAAAAATCCCCTGTGTTTTCAGGTATCAACTAGAAGTCAAACTATTAAACTAAGTGTTGTACGTGGCAAGGACATGGGACTACTGTGCACTGACTGGCCTGTGGCATGAGGTTTGTGTCCTTGATCAGTAGCCATGCAGTCTTTGCTTCTTAAAAAAATCCAATAAAGCAGCAACTTGAAGAGGCAAAATATTTCAAGGAGACTTATCTCCTGGCTCTCTGGTTCTTCATCTCTGCTTTATAACTGCTTTAATTTCATATGTATGACATTTTGTATTTATGTAGATAGACCAGAACGACTACATTTTCTAGTGACAACTTTCAGTTGACTTTTATCACAGATGGATCATTTTGGCATCAAAAAGAGAGGAAATGGCTCAGGTTTTGACCAGACTAGTGCTAGTTATTTTACTCAGTAGATAACAATCCTGTGGTAATAGATGAAAACACACTGTTACTTTGAACTCTATCCCCAAACAGGTATTAATCTGGGATTACTGTCTCCAGCATAGCATAACTGAACAGTGTTACACACATACAGTTCTTTTATGTGATCATTCTTTCTACAAGGTCATACTGGCCTAAGTTCACACGAAATGCCACAGGACAGTTTCATAGCTGGTGTGAAAAGGTGTTTTGGGGGTTTTTTGTGTTTTAATGAAAGGCTGTAAATTAAATCTAATTGGCTAAGAGCCACCTAGATAAGAATTAATTTGTTGGAGGACAAGATACCTGGGAGACGTGACAAAGATTACATCTGTGCTTCTTTCTGCAGAAGCTGTTTCTGTTAATTCACACCTTGACTTGTGTTAGATCAATGGCTTCTGTTAAAAGGCAGAACCATTCTTCTTCATCCAGTTAGACTGAGCTGGTCTTTACAGATTTTTTTTCTGTGATTAATGCCTTTGCTTCCTGAATGCTCTAGATAGGAGAGTAGCTGAAGGCAAGCTAGAAACTGGGAGTGTTTATCATTTCCAGAGCATATAAATGCTAATGCTCAGTGCTAATGTTGAAATAGATATGCCGGTTTCCACACAGTTCAAGGTAGTACCTTTGGCTTGTTGAACATGCCATGGCTTGGGGTCTGCTTTGTTCAAGTTATCTTCCCCCTGTGATGTATTATTTGGGTTGCAATAAGGCAGGGATGCTCAACCAGGAGTTCTTCTAGTTCACAATAAAGGCATCTGCTGACAGTTAATTCACCATATAAGAGGCTCTCTATTTTAAACTCAACATTTAAAATAGCTGTTACCCTTTGATGGAGGGGTGGTTGGGGGGTAGCTTTGAGCGTGGCATCTGCCACAGCCACTAAGAATTTTTTTGTTTGTACTTGTGATTTCCAGCAGTGGCTCTTTCAGACGAAACATGCCATCCTTTGCAGTGTCAGTAATAGACTACCTTTTTTTCTCAGAGAACCATAAGAAATATGAGATTTACTAAAGATCTCGTAACTATAGTGAAATAAAAAAAAAAAGGTGCTTCCTCAGGCCCTAGCAGAATTAGGGCACAGTGGATGAGCTCTGGACCACAAGTCCAAAATCTGCTTGCCCAGTGATTGACAGGCATGGATTAATCTCTGTGACTGAAGTAGCTCCTGGAATGCTAATGTAAACATGCATCTGTGTTCCTTGAACAAGCTTGGAATTAGGAGAATCACAATCTAACTTGTTCTCAGGGGTGGTCAAAACCTCTGGCACTGGGAACAAGGCAAAAGTAAATCACTAACAGCATCATTTAATATAGAAGATTTTAAATCGTGCCTATAATAAACAACACATTGCCTACCTCAGAATCTATGTCACTTTTTACTTACAACACCCAATTCTCTCTTACTTTTCTTCCCTGGTGATAAAGAAGTCTGTGTCAAACTCTAAGAACCCACCTACCGTTGAAACTGAGGTGGAACTTAAAAAACACCAGAACTAATTCATATGGTGAGTTGGTTGCCAGAGCAGAAGCACAGCTACTCTGCTTTCTGAATGCAATTTAGCATTGGAGAATAGCAGTGTCAATCACAAACTTCCCAAAAGAAATAACCAATGTTTACTGAACTGATCTAATGTGATTGCTGTGTGTGAGTACATTTCAAAGAAGAATGAAGGGAAGTTGGCCAGGTAGGGTCTTTGAGTTGATCCCAATGAAATCAGCAGGACCTGTCTCCACTTGCAGTAGATCTGAATTTGGCCCTGTATTTTGGAGTCCAGAATAAGAAGTTTATGTGCTTAAAAGTGGGGATGCAGTATATGGTATAAACCTAAATTGCTTGTATATTTGGTGCCAGCAGATGGAGGATTGCCAGTGATGTACTACAGCATGAACTTTGGTTAGCTAACAAGTCCTCCAAGTCCCCAGGGGCATGTTGGGGAGTGCGGGCAGGGGGCAAGAGTGGAAAACTGAGTATTAACACTCATCCTGTAGACTACCCCTATTCAGATGCCTATGCAGTTCTGGATTTACAGGTTCCACTCTTTGCCTGTCCCCTTCCATCGTATTTCTGAGGGGAATGAAGATGCAAACTTAACACAATTTTTTACCAGCCTTCACAGCATCCATTTCTCTCCTTGCTGAAATTAAAAATGTAATTTCATTTCTTCAGTTATTTTTTGAAGACTAATAAAAGTAGTAACTCCTTGTTTGTGGATCCGCAATAACTTCCTGTACTCTCCACACTTGTATCTTTGTCCCTATAACTCTCCCTTCCATAATTTCAGTAAAAGTATGAGCAGGTAATGCTCCTAATGGAGCTGGTTTTCCCTCATGTCAGTGTTTCAAACTATAGCCATCTACAGTCATCACCGTCATTCCAAATAACCAATAAAAAAAATTACTAAGTCAATTATAAAGTAGCTTTTTACAACATGAGGTCTAAGAAGGGTCTGCGCTTTTATACTGCCTGGTATAGATTGATGACACAAGAAAAGGCAGGGGCTCCTTGCAAAAATTAATTGGATGAATTAATTTACAATTTGTTTCAGACAAACAATTTATACAACATAAAAAAAAAGTTGCCGCATAAAATTAAAAACAAGTGAAAGTAAGTTCAGATATCACCAAGCAGTGACTTAATTAGATGAGATGTGCAAGCTAAGACTTCTAGGATATTTAGTGCTAAAGGGCTACATACAGTGGCTGCACTTCACAAGTTTTAAAAGCTGCTTATGCCGAGAAATGCTTCTGTCCCACTCATTAAAAAAATGGAAGAACAGTCATTATGAGAAACATTCATGTATCATGAAACTTGGTACTTGCCTGCCATGTCAATAGCGAAGGGCCTGTCAGCTCTCCAGCCAGTGTACCAGCCGACAACTTTGCCGTTTTCCACGACTGGGCGCTCATACCGTCGTCCTCCTACCAGTCCCACGGGCCATACCGACACTTTGCGGGTCGTGCGCATCTGCAAGAGGCGGGCACAGCATGACTACATGCACGCTTTCCTAGTAGGCTCTTTCTGTAAGTATTGGTAAGACTAGGTATTTAAAAGCAATTCTAGCTTACAGATTTCAGTCCCACAGAGTGAGTCTTTGAAAGCTGCACATGCCCACTCATTTTCTGTGAAATCTCCAGCTCTCTAGCCCATAGGCACCTCAATTCTACTGAAAATATCCTATTCATTTATGGTTTTTTTAAAAATAAAAATTATAAAAGCCATTAACAACCAGTGTTTTCTTGTTTATTTGGGTTTTCAAAGGTGTAGCAGATCTTTTTTATCTGCAAGACTATAGCATTCTTGCAGTGGGCTTATTTTGTATATTGCTGAGGTATTGTACAAGCCCAGCAAGAGAGGATATTATAATAATGATTGACAAATACACACTTCATCAAAACAAGTACAATTAATTTGAGACTGGTAACAAATACACTGAGTACAAGAAGTTGTGACATACAACCCTTCCCCTACCTGCAACATGCAGGTTTGTACGATAGATGCAGCTCAGATCTATTAAAGACTCACAAAGATTTAAGTTTTGGCCAAGCCTTTCTACCTTCTACTTTTTCTCTTGAAAAGCATTGCTAAGTTTCTGAGAAGGAAAGAAAGCGGGTCAGACAGGATGCTTCTGTTAGTTTGCCATCAGTAACAGGAGTTTTTCCCAATGGTGTTAATGTAACTAACTGCAATTCTGGAAACATGGTCCTCATCTAATCCAGAGGAAGGTCTAGCAAAAAGCGCGCATGACTGTGAGTCGGTGAATTCCGCTCACTGGTTAGTAGACCTTTTTCTTCAGTAAACAGAAGATAACATGACATGAACCCTGACACACTGCTCCCCATGGGAAAATCACTGACAGTCTGGCATGAGAACTCAAGATGATGAGTGCATGGACACAGCAACTTGCACAGCTTAACCACACTGGTTCAAAAGCCACTCTTTTGACTACTATGCTTAAATATGGTCCTATTTAAGCAAATATTAAACTATTTCACTGTCAGGTGGGCTTAATGTGATCAATTTTTAAAACAATCTCTTGCCTTCTGTTGTAGTTGAGGCCTATTCCTTAAGGAAAGGTTATCCCTTTCTGCTTCTAAGCACTCCTGTTAGCAAAAGCAAACACAGTTTTACATATTTGTAACTGCAGTCCCCTATCGATAGATGTTGAAGTAAAAGACAACCTTGTTTAAATATTAAACACTTCCCTCTTTTTCTGCCAAGGTGAAAGATTTATCATGCATATCATCTAGACTCCCAGAAGACACACGAGAAAAAACAAAGATGTCATGTCACTCTGGTTCACATTCTAGGCTAGAAATATTAGCAGATTCTTAGGAGAACTTTCACATAGGGAAAGCATAAAATATATATTTTTAAATCCACAAATATGTATGTACACACAGAAGAGAGGCATGTACCTTCTCTCCCTCCAGTCCTGTGTGTATCTTTACATTTGTTTAGCAAAATTTTCTCACTTCCACCCCAATAACTGTTGCAGCAAGTCAAACCTTCTCACTCAGTAGGAGCAGCCCGTACTGGGTAAGACAGGCTTTGTATACAATTGGCAATATATGGGTTTCTCATGACAAGTATTCTGTCCAAACCACTGACTATTGAACTGCCAGCAAGAGACTACCATGAACCTCTACGGGTTATTGTTATATTGTGAAATGTGTTTGTAACTTCTCCCTGCTTAAGATTTTTCCAACCTCTCCCACTCTTCCATTGAGGAAATGCAGTTAGCAACTAGCTACTTGGACATGGAAAACAATCAAACCTCAAGAAGATCTTTTAGCTCTGGTTTTAATGATACATCTATTTCACAATTTTTTATTAACATCCAAACACAGGGCATCATCCTGCTGGGCTTGTCTACTTAGGCACATTTACAATAGGTTTCCAAGGGCACCATCAAGCCATGTACACCCAGCTCCACTACACCAGAATTAACCACAGGAGGAACACAGATGCCCACTAACTTTTTTTGTGTTGCCATTAATACCTACTGGAGAGTACGGATACCTGAACCCATTACTAGGGTACTGATATACCTCATTTTAGCTACCCTGTGCCAACTGTCTGCACCCATGGTAAACATAAAATGCTGCAAGACAAGGGCAGGCACACTATAACTACAAGAGAGTAGCTAGTGCCTGGTAAGCCCAGACCTTGCTTCTCCTCACGGTAAGCATTTGGGCAGCTGTACTGCAAACTGAGACAGATCACACGAGACTTCTGAATTGGGTCAACAGCAGTGTCAGCATTTATGCTAGCAGAACCAGACTGATTTACATTAATCCTTTACCTATACAATGTGCAGGAGAATCTTGTCAACGAAAAGTATCTCACTGACCTCAGGAAACCAGCATGAAATGACCCAAGAAGTTTTAATTACTACAGTCTTGGGTCCATCTCTGTGTCTATGAGTTAAGTCAGTAAAGTCACCATGCATCAGAAGGAAGTACGTAACCCTTTACAGAGCTCTGTATTTTGTCCTTGTGTTACTTTCTTTATTCTCACAGGTTACATTTTTGGAGAATGAAATAAGCAAGTGTCAAGAATACAGCAATCCCTTTAAGTAAAAGCTGAAGGAACACATCTAGACCAGTATTTATGCTAATTCTGAAATACCTTACAGCCTCGGGATATACTAGGCAGATGAAAGTAGGAATAATTCTTCTAATCTTCCGAGAAGAGCATTACTGCAGTTAACATACTGATGTGTTAAGGCTGTATTATGCATGATGGGGAGAAAGCTATTAGGGGGATTAAAAGGCCAGCTTGCATCTGGAATTTGATGCTGCTAATCACTGGAACACAAAAAGGCGATTCAAAAACATGTTCATTCTAAATAGCATTATTGCTGTGGGTTAAACAACTGCCAAAATCCTATAACTTACAAACAGCCTCCTAAATTACTCTTCTATCTGTCATTTTAATGTGCAGTAGCAAATGCTGTCTTAATACTCAGCATTTTAAGTTCTAGTAGCTTACATGAATGGTATTCATCTTACTTACACTTAACTCTCTGTAAGTTAGCATCTGGTCTATCCTAGTTAGACTTCAATAGTTAATGAACAGAAATAGGAACCTACTGATGTGATTCATCCTGCCTGGCTTAGACAGCTATCTTAAGGTAGGATGAATCTCCCTCTGGAAATGCTTTTGTCCTCTATTTACTTTTAGATTATTTGAAAGGAAGTCTTGGGCATAGGGGGAGAGTGAGGTACTGGATGCGGGAAGATGAGAAAAGGATTCTGTGAGATGGTAGAACAAACCTGAATGAAATGGCGGGGACACAAGTGGCAAGGAGTGGGTGAGGAAGTGACAGGAGAGAGGAGTAACAACAGACCAAAGAAATCTCAGTGAGGTGATGGGTATAGAACAGTAAATAGAGTAGCAATAGAGAAACCACTAAAGAATAACAAGTGAAAATGCAGAAAATGTAGCTGAGCAATAAAAGACAGTGATAAAAGCATTGCCAAAAATAGCATCTCATTAGTCAATCAAGAAAAGCTGCTTAATGGGATGCACTGGACTGATGGATAGGGAAGATACCAAGCCAGTAATAAAACATAAAAGCCCAAGGGGAATGAAGGCAAATGACAGACAGGAGGAAACATGGCCATACTTGCTACAGTGAAAAGACTTCCAGACTGGCACAACCATCCTAGTGTTTTTGCAGCATGATGTTAATGAGCTTCTATTCAGGATTCAAAGATCTCTGCAAATGCGAACCTGGCTGCCACACAGATAAAGCTTTTTTCCTCCCCCTGTTTCTCTGTCACTTCAACCCCTGTGTAACCTGTGATCTGTACTGGTCAGGCTATAGGTTATCGTCCAGGCTCGCACCCCCCCATCCCAGGGAGACTCAAGCAGATTTGTATGCAAAATTCAGATTCATTATTACCAAAGACAGGATCTAGAGCTCCTTCACTACAACTCTTCAACAGGGGAAAATGTTAGGGGCTAAAGCACAAGCACATCCAGGTTCCCTATCAGTTCTCACACAGGCATCCTGCATTACTCATAGGTCATTTAAAGCCAAATTCTGCTTCAGCAAAACTTACACGACTGCCCTACAAGCCAGGGATAGCTCAGCTTCAGTGATGCTCTGCCCATTTACCTAGGAATTAAATGGAGCTTCTGCCCCTACTTACCACTGCTTCAAAGGAGGTAAAAAAAGGTAGAGGTAAAAGGAAGTAAAAAAAGGAGAAAATCTGTCCCAGTAGCTTTTGTGGTTCAGGGACTCCGACGCTTAGAGGAGAGTAACTTCAAAAAGCAAGTTTGTTGTCAGTAAACTTCACTGTAAAAAGGGTATGCCTCCATGGGAAAACTTGTAGAAATGGTCTACAAATCCAAAAAACTGTCAGTCACTGATCTAGCTTTCTCTGCAACCCTCACAGGTGATCTGATGTAGTGCTTCACCATCCTCACTATTAGAAAGCTTGCAGAGGGAGGATAGATTAATTTCCCCTTCTGTCAAGCAACATTTTACATATCAGATACAATGTTTAATGCTTCTAAATTATACCCAGATCCTTGGGCACAAATATCAGTATTGTTTCCCTACAGGAGAAGACTGTACTAAATTTAAGTAAAGCGGTTAAGAGCCAGTTTCTCTGGATTGGGAAGACTTCCAAAACATTTGCTGTTCCTGTTTCCTTTTAGCCCTTCTACTAATTCTTTCTCTCATCCAACTTTCTGTTGTTCTACTAGGTTGTGTTCACTGAACCTCTGAAGAGCTGCTGACTGTTCGTAATTAATTTCATAGTAACAGTCAGTATCAGTTTCACAGGTGAGAAAAAGACTGCTGTCAAAGCCAGAAACAGACAGTGTTTGGTATTTTGTAACCAGAGTAACTCACTTGGATAAGTCTGTTTCAAACAGCTTTTTTTGGTCACCCTTTCCTCTCATTTTTAAATATTGCATCGTTACTCTACCAGCCTTTTCTAATTCAGCCTCTTTAACACAGGTACTATACATCTGTGTG